AAAAAAAAAACAAAATTTGAAAAACAAAAGAAACAAACAAAAAATATGTCCATTCACAACCTAATGCTTTACGTTGGAAGAATGAAAGGAATACCTTACTGGTGCTGTCAACCACCTTACATTTGTATAGCTTATATTTTTCAAACTCACAAAAGTTTCTCCTTTAGTGTAATAATACTCAAAGTAAATAAAACAGATAGTATTGTTTTCATCCTAATTTTATGGATGAGGAAATAGGCACTATTAGAACTTTAAAAACAAAAAATTTTTTTTTTAATTTATTTATTTTTGAGAGACTGAGAGAGACAGAGCCCAAGTGGGGGAGGGGCAGAGAGAGGATGAGACACAGAATCCAAAGCAGGCTCCAGGCTCTGAGCTGTCAGCACAGAACCCGACATGGGGCTCGAACCCACAAACAGTGAGATCATGACCTGAGCCAAAGTTGGACACTTAACCAACTGAGCCACCCAGGCACCCCAGAACTTTCAAATATATGTTTGAAAGTGTGGGGTTTTTTTTTTCCTTTCTTTTTTTTTTGTTACAAATAAAAAATTACCTGAATAAAGGCAGAAGTCGTCTGAACGTGTTCTACGCAATTGCCTTCAGGTGACACATACTGATAGCCTGGGATCTAAAATGGAATTAAAACATTAGTATCATACATAGAATACCATATAAATTTTTTAAATCTGAGGCAGAGCATAAAAACTCTTGACAAATATCGACAATAGAAACTCATGAAGTATCTCTGTTAACTTTGAATATTCATTCATATAATAGTTTCTAACAGCTACATTTTTGTTCTTAGAATCTACTAACGAAAAGTCGTAACTCTTAGGAAAGCTGTATCTTCTCCTGGATGAAATATGAGAATTACTTGGCCTATATTTATCAGCCAATCAGTCCATCTATTATCTACACTACCCACCAAATTATTATTTTTTTTAATCTCCTCTTAGAAGGATTGCTCTATCTCCTGGAGAAAACAAAGTAATTGCGTTCTTTCTTATCTTTCAGAGGAAGGGGTTAGTCCATACAAAGCACTCACAAGAACAGACATTAAAGCAGGTTTTTCAATATTCTTATCTCCTACTCCTACTCCCCATGACAATCTCTGTGTGAAAGATATGAAGCTTCTTCTACTACTTGTCTCAGAGAATGTCATAATCACTCATGTGCTTTTTAATACTCTGACAACAGACTAAGAATTATTTTCTTTCTTTTCTAAAGCATCTGTAATAAGAATTTCGAAGTTTCATGCAAATTTAGTGTGCAATGGTGGAATGAAATATAAGAGAAGGTATTTTTAAAAACCTAAATATGTAATGAATAAAAACATAAAATTGTTCATCTTCTATAATGGCCTACCTAAATCACTATCTGCTGCAAAATCACAAAAATAACTTCTAACAAAGAATTTAATTTTCACAATACTTGGTTTGTATCAGTTATCATTAAACTTCCAATGAATTAGAAACTTATCTTTCTCAAACTTTTCATTTAAATCTGTAACAGCATTTCAAACCAATCCATTTTTTTCTTTCAAATCCAAATTAGAATCATCTTTTTAGTAGTTTGAGTTGAATTATGAATACATAATTCTTCCAAGAATTATTAAAAGTACAATAAGCCATTCTTAAAGCACAAGAAATACTCTTATTTTCCAATATATTTTGATGGAGACTGTTAAATACTCTCCTGGCCCCAGATAATTTTTAAAACTGTTTCTATGAGTTAAAGCAATAAATGTAAATGATAACCTAAGAGCAGAATGTTTCAGTTTATGCTGCTGAAATCTAGGACTCTAAAGAAAAATGTAAAGAAACAAACAATAAAAACCTTAAGGTACTGTGAATATCAGCAGGTAACTGTACTGTCTTCATATGTTTTCCTATTTGTAAATTAAGATGTCATACTTTTTTAAATTCTTTTAAAATTATGTGCAAAAGCATGCACATTTAATGAAGTACATTCAAATGAAATCTGTGCATACTAAGCAGACTTTTAACACCAAAATTTTATCTTTTGGTAGACACTATTAAGTCCTGATTTAATCTTTACCTTTTATGTGACGAAAACCAAGAATTGTTCAACATAAAAAATTGTATGACAGACAGGCAGAGAAATGTAAAACAAACCTTATGAAAACTTCTAAACTAATGTCTTGCAGATAAGAAAATGCACTGTAAATAAAAGAGCTTGCCCTATTATGAAGTTGGGCAATCTCTACTCTAATAAACCTGTCTAAACAAAGAATGACATCACTTAGTTGACTGGTTACTAGGGAGAAAGGCAAAGTTGAGTGTCATCAAAGAACCAATTAATTATTTACCACACCTCCCAAAATGATGAATGAATTTTGACTATTTTCTTCTTAAGATCATTTTATAGACACTTATCTCTTAGAGATAAGTAATACTACAATTACATAAAATATTTTTAAAAAGGAAACTGCAGGGGCGCCTGGGTGGCGCAGTCGGTTAAGCGTCCGACTTCAGCCAGGTCACGATCTCACGGTCCGTGAGTTTGAGCCCCGCGTCAGGCTCTGGGCTGATGGCTCAGAGCCTGGAGCCTGTTTCAGATTCTGTGTCTCCCTCTCTCTCTGCCCTTCCCCCATTCATGCTCTGTCTCTCTCTGTCCCAAAAAATAAATAAACGTTGAAAAAAAAAAAAAAGTTTAAAAAGGAAACTGCAATGGATGTTAAAGCACAGTTGACTATAAGCACTGAATCATAAATGAAGATTCAAAGAATGATAGCATTAGTAAGTGTACATACTAAGGTTCTTAATTAGATAATATAAAAATTAAATATAAAAGGAAACATTTTAATGTGTTTGTTTCCAAAATATTTATCAATCAAACAAGTAGGATAAACCACCACTAATGGTTTAACAGCTAGATAAGGCAATTTTTTTTCAGTCTGGAAATTTAAATATCCATTCCCCTTAATATATGTTGTATTTGTTTTATTAAGAAACCAAATATCCTCCCATATAGCAACTAAAGAAATTTTTTTTAATAATAAAGGTATTAAAAATATGTGCCTGAACAGGTATGTAAAACTGATTCTGGGTTTGCAAATGGTCCATAGTCGCACAAGGTTTGTGTTGAAGTTTGGATGAAGATCGTTCTGATTTTATTCCATCTTGTAAGTAGCCCTCCTGTTCCACTTTTCTTCGCATGGTAGAATTCCAATGATTTTTGATAGAATTATCAGTCCTAAGAAATGAAAGTGTATAATTTAAAAAGAAAAAAAGGATTCCACAAATTTTAACACTGTACAAAATGTAAGTGCTTAAAAAAATTTTTTACAAACAATGAAACTAGATACATTTTTTCATGTTTACTTATTTATTTTGAGAGAGAGAGAGAGAGAGAGAGAGAGAGAGAGGGAGGGAGGGAGGGAGGGAGGGAGGGAGGGAGAGGGGCAGCTGGAGAGGGAGAAAGAAAATCCCAAGGCTCTCCACAGGGCTCGATCACATAAACCATGACCTGAGCTGAAATCAAGAGTCAGATGCTCAACTGGCTGAGCCACCCAGGAGCCCCAGTACTTTTTTAATTCAAAAGATAAACTGTCCATCTATAGATCAGGCACAGTTCTAAATAGTGGAGATATAGCAGTGAATAAGAAAGTCCCTGCTTTTGGGAATGCAAGCTGGTGCTGCCACTCTGGAAAACAGCATGGAGCTTCCTCAAAAAACTAAAAATAGAACTACCATACGACCCAGCAATTGCACTACTAGGTATTTATCCAAGGGATACAGGTGTGCTGTTTTGAAGGGACACATGCACCCCCATGTTTATAGCAGCACTAGGCAACAATAGCCGAAGTATGGAAAGAGCCCAAATGTCCATCAGTGGATGAATGGATA